CTGTGTACAGCCAATAATATACTGTAATTAAAATATCTTAAAATAACCTTGAAGCGGATAGAGAATAACATAAAGAAATTAGTATGGGAAATGACTTGCAACAAGATAACAAAATCTTTCCTGGAAACTAAGAATATATGCACCCATACACACTTGGTGAATCATGGACACACTGTTAATCAACTATGGACTATGGTTGGTGTATGAGCACGAGTAGATCTCATAGTCATATGTATGAACCGAAGGGAAAACATAGAAGTACTGCCATACAGTATATGAAAAACCAAGCAACTTTACAAGGGAATGATTAGCTAGCAGAGTCAGGGGCAAATCAAAGAAGCAACTTAATTGTCTCTATACTGATGATGCAATCGACCGAGCATGTTCAAATAATTATTTACGTGAATGACAAGAATGAGCAATCGAGTGGAGCAATAGTCCTGCACATTGTTTCAAGAGCTACAATGAAATTTTTAACCTGAACTGCTGCGAAATATAGGGACTTGGAAACCAGAAAGAAGTAGCAAATGAGCAGAGACATTCCTAGGTAGCCCTTGTTTGGATTTAAACTTGACTGTCAGCCAGCTCAGTTACCAGCTTATTTATATATCATTTTGGATGACCCAATAGCTATTTACCATTTTTCATACATCACCCTAAATTCCCATTATATGCCACAATATGGACATAACATATATATATAAAAGAACATTTGTATAACAACTTTACCTCATCAGTTGATATAAATGGGCTGTCATCCACTGATAAATAAATTAATCTCTCATAAATTAGAAGAGTCCCAACTAGCATAAACAGCTCCGATTATCTTCTCATGTAGTATGGCTCCAGAGCAAGCGATAATGCCTCGATCAAGACCTTCCAGAAACATACCCTTGGAAAAGTCTAATGGGCGCCCTCCAGCATCAGTTACAACACCACCAGCCTCTTGGATTATGACAACACCAGCGGCATGGTCCCATATCTTTTCTTTGTATCCTGCCCTAGCGAATTTCATAAATATTTCAGCATCCCCACGAGCTATGGCTGCATATTTCACCATACTGTAGACACGCAGCGGCTGTTTCCTGCAATTGAGAGTAAACCGTAAAAAATTTGCAATAATTCCCACTATAAAATGTGATGTCAGCTTAAATAAATAAATTGAGAAAGCATAGTTAGTAAAATAAATGCAAAGAGCCTCGGTGTGAAGGCATATAATGACCTCAATGTTTCAGATATACACCCATACTAGAACAACTATATAACAAAGCGGAAAAAAGAAAAGAAAAGAAAAGGTTGTGCAACTGAATCCAAAGTTTATCCATTTTCACATTTATGCTTTTAAACAAAAATAAATCAGCAACTTTTAAATTGAATGTGCCCAATATAATAAAAGTGCACACTGTTTCTATATTTATGCATTTCAATAAAACTATGCTATGCTGAGATTTTAAATGTACGACAAGGGAAGTATTATATCCAATATGTTAAGAAACCCTTTCCACATTATTGCATAAAAATGTAATGTGAATATTTGGGTAATAGTACTTTTTTTCTTCTGCAAATGAGAACAAACAACAAACAAAGCAGTGTTACCAGAATTCA